AATCGCAGTCGTTGTGCACTTCTCTGGTTAATTTAATTTAAGATTTGGCATTTCTGCCCAAGAGGCTTCGTACGTAACCGTTTTCGACATGTTGTGGATAGAAAAAAAAATATTCGACCCAATTATGAACATTGGGGGCGCTCTCTATATACGGCTCTAGCTCTGGTGGCTACGCTGCCGGGTCCGTTGCACAATTATTTTCAAGCGAACTTATTCCCAGTTACCATTTTTTTTATCCTTAGTGCAGCCGGTATGCCTTTGTCCAATATTGCGGCTCATACTGCCTTAGGTATATCTCACAGACTGTTCAGTGTAATTTTACATGAAAATGAATGTACAAGTGTTTTTTTTCTCACGATATCAAAGCGATACGCCCCCCGCCGTCTGACTCCCCCCCCCTTTTTATAACGCATAAGGCCTATTTAGATATACCGTTCCAGTAAGACAAGTGTGTAGGAATGACTACCGGTAAATGCACGAAAACAGTTCGTGCCGTTTTTGAATGCATGGCACATTTTCGGGAAATAGCTGGAAGTAAGTGAAATTTTCACGGCGTTTTCGGTTGAGCAAAGATAGCACGCTTGTACCTTGATGAAACTGGGACGATTGTGAAGTCGACCCGGGCCTGACATTTTCAGCGTTATTAGGAAGACCCTGGCCTTTACGACATGCTTGGTCAAGTGTAATCATCCTCCCTGCGGTTGCCCTGGAAACTCAACCAGAAAAACAAGAGAAGTAACCATGAAAATGCGAAAGGAAATGGGAAAAGGTCAGAAATTGATTTGTGGCAAAACTCAGTACCAAAGGGATTGGAGATTCCATTCTGCCGATTAAATATTTTAAAAATGATGTTTAAAGAAAATAGGTTTAATTGCTATCTACGGAATATATTGATGTTCCATCATTATTACAAAAAGTACATAACTCACATGTCAAAATTGTTAACTCCCCAAAGTCTAGTTACATTTTTATTGGCCTGCATTGTATTTGGTACAACAGGTCAACATAGGACCTTTATTGGTTCGAAATTATCTATGCCCTAAATGTGGTTGATGCACGCTTTCTATAATTTTTGGGTAGGTTCCGATCAAATCATTTTTTTCCACGCACGATCATGAATTATGAGTTATATTCCTTCGCTTAAGATTAACCGTGAAAGGCTCGAATAATCACATAATCATGTGTCTTTTATTCAGACGCTAATCGATGTTTGGCTGGCGATTGATCGTCGAAATCTCATGTTATCTTTGGCAAGTACATGTATCTGCAGTTCTCCCGTTTTCTCGCGCCCTTGCGCATTTCTGATTTCCAGGCCTTGCGTCATACCGCGCGTCAGCATCGCCGCCGCGGCTCCTTTTTATTGGATTCCATTTCATGCGCTTGGCTTGGACCCTTGATTTTTATCTCAAGACCAGTACCGTTGCTCGTGTTGTCGCATGCCAAGATTACCTCCAGGTGAAGTGCGCATGCGTGTTAATGAAGTCCGGCTGAGAGGCCACCTCGTCCTAAAGGATTTCTTGCAGTATACGCACCCACCCATAACTGCATGTGAGAGGATTCTGAAGTACGCCCAGGCGACAGGGTTTCAAAGGAGGTTGAAAACTGCGCGGCTGTGCGTATTATTTGCCTGAAAGTAATTCTAACTTGGGGTTAAATTGAGCACGGGAACGGGGCCGGCGCACCAGGCAAGCATTGTGAGCGTCCGGTCGTCTGTGAGCAACGCGAGCACGGACACTCGGTAACTTGACCGCTATAAGTATCCCGGTCCGATGCAAAGATTTATTATCCACTCCGAACGGAATTCAATTTTGATGTGCTGACCGGCACATGCATTAGCACCACATTAAAATCGCAAACCATCTCAATTCAATATCAGCCGAGACAACGAGGAAACCTTAACACTTGAATTAAAATTGTATATGAATTACAACCAGTCGTCGTTAAAGTGGGTGATGGATCTAAATCTGGATTGATTTATTTAGAATGCATGCCATACTCGAAAAGGGCCCATTTTACTCCAGTTGCTTAACAGAAAATCATTAGCACAATACCTGAAAAAAATATGCGAAACAAAAGTCCGCTGTTTGAGAAGAAGTCGCAAGTAGCCAACATCACAAGAAATTTTGATTTTTATATAATTATTTTTTGCATTGCCAAATTTTGCTTAACAACATTTGCATGCTCTTGGACATGCACACAAGACCCTGTAACTGTAAGTCAAATTTCAGTCCATTGATCTTTTTCTTTTAATTTTCAGGGCCAAGTCTGCTAAAATAAACTTCTGTGTTTGCCAAAGTTAGAAAATTTGGAAATAATCATTCAATATAATACGGAGGCTGCCTAATTCCAAATATTTTTCTTGGGAAGTTGAGCACTGTCTTGAGTTTAAACTTTCACAGTATGCCTACACCAATGTAAAAGGGCCCATAATGTAATTTTTAAATGCAATCCTTGACCATACACCTTTGTGTCTCATTTAACCTTATTTTCAACTTTCATTTTTACCATTTTCAAGGGTTTTTGGTGCCTTTTTGTATTAATGCTAATGCAAATTTCCATATTCGAATCTGTGATGTCATTCCAGGCAGGAACCTAAATATTTCAGCTATTAGGCCTATTTCAGCACAAAAAGTCGCTAGAATTTTGGATATTTTGCTTTATTGTATTTTCTTTGGTGATGCGTTGTTGTGTCAACATGGTAGTAAGCCCATGAGCAAACTTTTCTCACAAATGTTTTCAATGAGAAAATTGTGGGTTCGCAATTTGAACAGAAAACCCCTGAACAGTGTCTTCCTGGAATGACATCATAGCAACAGCGCCCTCAGTTGTCCGGAAAAGTATGGACAATTTTAAATGTTTAAAGAAGTGCACTTTTCAATAATATCAACCAAAAAGGGATGTCAAATAGTTTTCATACATTTAACTTGTTGCATAAAATGTGTTCCTAAGAAACATTCATCACATTGCCTCTTTAATTTAAAGATCGTAAATGTAAACCGGTACGTGAATGTTTACTCCAATTATTACTGCAAGCGACCGTCATTCTAGAGGGTGATTTAAATCACAAAGCTTGGGGATTTTTTACAGCGAAACTGGGGCAATGGGAGGCGGAAAGCAATCATTTACGATTCCAAATTTAAACTGTACTTTCCCAGCGCGTCGGCTCGTGTCGAGAAAATGATTGTGGGGGGCTCGTCCATCATCGTCCGTTGGGTTGCCGACTTTGCGTGCCAATAATCCTGAATTATCATCTGTGTCATGGCCGCTGGTCCTGCATCTTTTGTGGCCGTCACAGGTGCAGCTTAGCTTCGTTTCTGATTATCTTTCTGCTCGGGCTCCGTGACTCAGACCTAACAGCAATCCGAATCGGCCTGCAAGTCACGAACTCACTAATCGACCATCTTTGTTCCCGGCAAGTGGACGTGTCGCAACAATGGACAATTCGGCGTGCTCGTTCAAATTACTTCCCTTCATCGCAAATTCACCCACATGATTATCTGAATGCTTTGTCAACATCTTCATTAGTATTCTACTCTCATATTTCATGACACGCTCTAAATATCGCTGCTTTATATGGGAAAGGGTGTAGTTTACTGAACCGAATTGACGTATAAAATGGTCTCGCTATGCGCCTTGCATTATTCAGCGAATAAAATGTGCGCTTACAATAATTTTACCCCAGTTGAAGTCATAACCCCCTCCTAAAAAAAGGGGAATTTGTTATTTCAAAACTATTTTTCTTTCGAGTCTGTATCTGTGTTATTGCATGGTCAGTTATCTTCCTTCAAATAGCATGCAATTATACATTAACTCTCCGTGGTTTTCAATTTTTGGAAACAAAAACACCACCCCTCGAATTTGATTGTTTGAAGGCATAGCCGTGTGTCCCATAAAACATGTGGTGTCACCTTGGTGTAGCCATCAACTTATTTTGTCATCCCATGGCCGGGTTTTCTCCTAATTATTGATCCCATAAACGCCAATCATTCTCACCCCGGCGACAGAGCCACTGACCCCCACTGGTTCTCGCACACCTGCAAGGTTTGGCCCAGCCCATTGTTCCTAACATTTGCATGATCAAATTGCTCTTTTTAAAGCCCTCTTCAAAAGAACACAATAGGCGGCTTTGCCGCCTTTATGCTGCCCATGCATTTCCATTTGTTTACCAAATTCCAAGGTGTCAGGCGACTTAAATAGACCCCGGTGGTCACTTTTTTTTATTTGATCAACACCTGAGCGTCAAAAGTGCCGAGGATTCGAAACTTTACCGTCGATTAAATTGCTTGAACATTTTTGTATTTCATTCAGAGATAACTGCTATTTAGTTGTATTAATCTGGAATAATCATGTGTAAGGAAAAGATGGTTAAAAGCGAAGTGTTAAAAAAGTATGTGCTGTAAATGTATCAACAAATTATGACGGATTTTTAGTCCATCATTATATGAGTTAATTTGAAAGGTTTATTTTTTTTAGAAAACTACCGCATTGTTTGAGTTGGGCCCCATATTTTCTATTTTCGTTGAATTCGCCAAACATGCACCGTCTTACAGTCATAGTTTGAAATAAATTTTCAGTTTTATCTTTATTTAGCTAAACGTAGGTTACTAAAAATATAATCTTAAGATCACTTTTATTGAACCATTAGTGACATTTATTGGGAACTGACGTAAATTTATCATCCTTGTCGTTATTATCTGCGAACCGATTATCATTCGCGAATGTAGGTAACAAGTTTTTATTTTTCCATGGCGTCGATGAAATAAAACTTTGCATATTGCCGAACGAGCCTAAGGCTAATCTTTGGGTCACTTTCTATCCAATCGGCATCCTTCTCATGTGTTGTGGAATGTGAGCTTTTCGTAAGACAGCGTCGTTGATTGGTGCCTCGAAAAAACATATAATGAAATCAATATTCATGAGGAGATTAGGCCATGGCCACTCAAGTGTACGTGTGTGTTGAGTACACGGTACAATTCTATACGTACGTACGTACGGTACGCGTGATGCACGTACATATGTACGTACACACAGTCTATGCAGTCTTGGCATTTTATACATGTTGTGTCTCAACAAACCCTCTAAAAGGCCAGCTTTCTTGGAATTTTCTGTGATATTTTCCCCGTGTTTACAACCAAGGATTATTCTCTAACACTAAGATGTATATCTTGGATTTTTCAGCTTCGATACGGACTCCAGTAGGTGAGTGAGAAGCGGCAAATTTGTCGGATTTTTTTCGTCGTTGATCAACCTCCGCTGCTTGTGTGGTGCCCGTGTGTGCAGCTCGCCCGTGGGTTAGCGACGGGGGCCAAGATGGCGTCCGTGCCCGCTACCACAATGCAGCAACTACTCATGTTTTGGTGCTGGATTTGCGGTCTTTTCGTAATCTTTGCTGCCGGAGCCGTTGGTCAAATTCAAGCTTCACAATTCGTCAGATGTCCTGAGCCGTGTGCTTGCCTGGGAGACATGGTAGACTGCAGCAAAAGGCAGTTAACAACTGTTCCACCGGACATACCGCACTGGGTTAAAATTCTGTAAGTAAACACGTTGTCATTGGTAAACGTAGTAACATACACATATGCACATCAAGTTACATGTCACTGTCACAGTGTCAGTGTCAGTGTCACTGTCAAGACGGGTAGCTGGGAAGTAGGACCATATAAAAGTTTTATATGGTCCTACTTCCCAGCTACCCGTCTTGACAGTGACAGTGACAATTGGCCAGTCATTGTAAAACATGTAAAATATAATTCATCATAGTGCCTAATTCATATTTGGCTAGAATAACTCCAGCTCTAAATTCTATTTTATCAGTGTGATAAAGCATTAGAGCTGGAGTTACTCAAGCTTATTTATATTGAGAATTCAGGGAACAGGGGAAAGAGTTTCAGGAAAAAAAAATGTTGCATCCTGACGCCACTTTTTTCTTCATATCATCTCAATGAAGGTCATTCATTGCAAAAATGATGATAAAACACGAATCTGGGAATGAGAAACATTTCCATTTTGTTAGGAAATACAAAAATGTCCTTGACTCTCCGTAGACTTTGTACACAATTGCAGAAGTGGCGTCAGGTTGCAACATTATTTTCATACCGTAACGTGAATGGCGCCACAGATATTGGTGGCGCTATTTTCATGCTCAAAATGACCTTTTTTTTGTGACCGTCTTTTTTGAAAAGGTTTGACATGGAATATCACAGTTGTGGATTCTCCAAAACAGCGATGCCGTTATTTGTGTGTGAATTTCCCATACGTTTGTATACATAAATAATCAAATGACACATTTATTTCAGCCAAATCGAGGATCATTTTAAGGCCAAAAAAAAAAACTTCAAAATTGCAATTATTTTAGAACTGCTTCCCCAATGATAAAGCTAGGAGACCACTTTAATTGCATTTTGAAAGCTCTATCCCTAACAGTCTTGAATCCTCCAATTTAAATACGATTCACTGGACACCATGTTCACAAACAATATAAGACTGGTCTGGAAAATTCCAGGTGTTTTCTCAGTAAATGCTAATTTCCCTGGCAAAGTTGACTTTTTAGGACAATAGTTAGTGGTTTCTGATGGCCGATAGGTCATGTAGGTCACTGCAGGGACAAATTAGTGATTTTGTCCGTGTGTGGAATTCGGCAAGATTACCATATGCGAAGTTCACTAATTTTCCTCTGTATTGACTAACAAGCCCCCAGATAGCAATTTCATGTCACCAAAGTCAATTTGAGCAGTGAGAAAATACAAGCATTTGGCCTCAACTAGAATGTTCCTTTTTCCCTATCCAAACCCAGTTGAGATTAAACTCACCTAATATCATGCAGCAGTCATTTACCCTAACCCTGCTGAATCCAACAGGATCCAACTATGTACGTGATGGAGCCTGTTGGATTGAGCAGTAAACCCCTTGTGTAGTCTATGTGTACATTCCTGATACAAAATGTTGGATTCAGTAGGCAACAGAACTGCATTATAATGCAAAGTTGGACTCTGATGGATTCAGCAGACAACTGAAAATATGGCACAGTGGATTCAGCAGGAAACTCTGATTAGACAATGTTGGATTTATCAGGGTAGTCTTGAGGAAATACTAGGGGGTTAGGACAAAGCAAAAGAGTGACTTGAAACAGAACAACAGGGACTGAAATCAAAACAAAATTTATGATATTTGTAGCTTTTCAGATTTTTTCAAGACTCCATACTGAGACTGCAAACTCACAACTATGATTGCTAAATGTGTCCAGAATATGTTAAGGTGTGGGAACAGAAATTAATACAGCTGCCGTCTGCTTGAGAACAGCAATGTTGATCACATGACAAGCCTCTTTATGAACAAGAGTCATACTGTATGAACTTGCCAGAAATATAGTCCCTGATTAAACCTTTTTTTTTTAAGTCAAGAAAATTGTACCATGTAACATGTAATTCTGAATCAGCCCAATGGAATGGTTGATCCATGGAAGCCCTCGATCCATGGGCGGTTGAAGGTCAAATTTTAGGTTATCGGCTTCCGTTGGTTCCCTAAACACCAAAGTCTAAGCTACAGCTGAACCTGTGTATTGTGCGACATTTGCTGAACTAAAATGCTAAAATGTATACGAAGCATACATGTGGCAGCCATAGCATTTCTTTCTTGAATACACAATAAGTCATTATGTGTAGAGATACATTTCTACATGTAGGAGCAGCAGATGAGCAGAAATGTCATATTAGCAGACATTTCTACTGAATTTCTTTCTAATCAGGCAATTTCTAGCTACGCACACAACTCTTGTGTATTAAATCTCATACATCTAGTTTGTAATAGTTTTGTGTCATACCTTTGGTTGAATTTGTGGTCTTGAACCAATTGGACTAGTAACTTAATAAGCGATGGATAACGAGGTTTAATCAACATTGATCAGAGAGGAGGGGTTATAAGATACACATAATTAGGTTCCACACATGAATAGAAAAAAAACCTGTTCAAAAAGAAATCAATTTTTTTAACCATAGGACTCTATTTGAAATAGTCAACTCGTGTCTTGGAACAATTTAAGTTTTAGTTCATAATCTGTGTTGCTAATTGGTGGTACTAAACAAAAAGAAGAAATTTAAGAAGGGCTTCTTGTCAAGATTCAAATGCTGTGATTTAATTAAAAGCATTGAAACTTGCTCATAACCACAGTTACTTCCTGAGAAAAACAATTAGTAATTGAAAACTCTGATTGTTTTTAATACTTGATATCTTGCATATAGTCCACAGTGGTTCTGATTATTCATATCAGAAAGTTTTAACTGACAATGTGTTACGTTTGGAAGTAATTGACACAATACATGTACTACATACATACATGTAGATGTACATTCACGAAAATGATACCACAAGAATTCCACACTAGTTGATGACTTACAAATGAATGTCGGGCGAAACATGATACAAGCGAGGCATTGCCCATGTTCCTTCCTTTGCCTAACAGTAGACCAGGATCCTGACTAAATCCCTCCCCAAAATCAAGCATCACCATAGGTCAATAGCGACTGACCCTGTGACCCTCATTTCCTAGGCTGCACTTCCATTGTGTAGAGGTGGGGCAGCAATCTAAAAAACCCTAAGGTTTTTCATTTGTGTGAATCATGTACTTGGGCTGCAATTACAGCAAGCTATACAACCCCACTTGAGTGTGTAGGCACACAACCGCTGGTTTACGAAGCGCCGCTTTTATGCTCGCTGCCCTAAATTCCACACTGCCCTGCAGAAATAGTTTAAACAGGCCGCTGCTTTGATTCCTTTTTTTCATTGTTGAATACCAGAAGTTGGACTTTCACCCCACAATGGAGTTCTTGACATATTTGGAGATCTAGATTTCAGCAAGATTTAACACCTTCGCGGCATAAATTTGGCAGTATTTTTTTGCACAGATTGTGTGAAGTAATTTGCTAATGCTGTTTGCATCCAGACACTAGTGCTATTGGGTTAGTAAAAATGCGCCATAATGACCATACCTATTATCAGTAATAAAAGTTTTTATGTGAAACACATTTTGGTCAAGCATTTACATGTACCTTAAAGTTACTGCACGTTTACGCATAAAAAGCCACTCAAAAAGAAAGAAAGAAGTTTCAAAAAAAAAATCTGGTTTAACATGAAAAACAAAACAAAAACCCTCAAGAAAGCTTGAATTGGGTCAAGTTTTCCTCTATATTCTTTATATGCACAGTTCTGAGAAAAAAAATGGTTGACCTCTGTGCTTGTATGTTTATGAAGTTAAAATGCAATTGAACTATTTTACTGCCAAAGTCATAAAAAAAGTAGCATTGTGGTATCATCATAAATTCCTATGTTGAAGTTTTAAGGGCATAAATACACCAAATTTAATGCTTCTGTTGATGATAAACAAGTTGTAATAAAACAAGTCATTAAATTTGAAGCCCTCGGGTCAACAGACTTGAGAGTTACATATAGACCCATCTTATAAAAAATTATTTTCATGATTTTTGAAAACCTGTGTCTGGTAATTTTTGTGTATCACAAAATTAGTCTCCACTTTGAAGAGTTCATCGTAAAAATGAATCTGATTAATTCACAAAAAAAGCATACACGAAAGTCCAATTTTTCTAAAGGTTGTTTCCATGTAATCAGCATGTATGCTCTATTTGAGGTGTAGTGTCCAGTTCTGTACTACAGCTTACAACTTTATACGAGTTACCATAAATTGCGTGCGGGTGTCAGGTCGAATTAACCATTGTCTATGTCTCCTGACTAAAAAACGCTTACTGGAACTGACACTCCGACACAGCTGAGTGATCTCAGAAACTGCAATCACAGACATGACACTGGTTTTTGTCTTCTCATGATGCACTGACCAAAAAGGGAATTAAATTAATGTAATTACCTTCAGATATCTATTCCACTCATAGTCCAATTCCAAGGAGCTGCTTAAGCAGAAAATTTGTGCTTAGCAAATGTGCACTAAGCAAAATAACTGGGAACCAGTCATCAGCAATATGTATTATATGACCCTTCCGCTGGTAACCCGTTTCTGCTAAGCAAATAATTTCTGCGCTTAGCACATTTCTGTGCTTAACATAAAATTGGCCTAAGATCGCATGTAATGGATTTCAAACATTATACATGTATCGGTATGTAAGTAGGTTACATTTACAAGTGTCGGCAGTGCCACAGTTTCACATCTCTGAAGTTCACCGAGAGTTTTTCATTTTCCCTTTTACTTTTCGTTTTGGAGTAGATGCGCATAAACATGAGCCATTAAATCATGTTGGGGTACCCTCTAACTTCACCTGAATAAACCATGGGCCGACGGTTAATGGTGCCATAATTCACCCAACCCGTATACATTTTGTCAGATTCATGCGGCGCACACCTTGCTTTTATTGCCGTAGCGACTGTACATGTACTTCCCTCCTCCTTCTCTCAAGTCTCCGTTTCTCTGATAAACCATTCGGTGCAGAGTTTCAAGTGTAGCTTGGCTCACACCCGCAATGCCAAACGGTATTGATTTATATTGCAGATCTGCATTTTGATCAGACATTCA